TTTTAAATAGTGTTCGCATGCAGCTTTGTTTGTGTGTGCTGGGTTGGTTACTATTGAAGTTCAATACCTGGTCTGTGTGTGTGGCTTTACGGTGTACTTTCGTTTGCAGTTCCCCATTTGTCTTGCGCTCTACCATGATGTCCAGGAATGGGAGTTGTTTGTTCTTCTCCTCCTCTCTGGTGAATTTTATTCCAGTGAGGGTGTTGTTTATGAGTTTGTGTGTCTCTTCTAATTTGGTTCGTTTACTGATGACAAAGGTGTCTTCTATGAAGCGTATTGCAACGGACCCCAGAGTTTAAAAACCAGGCGGGAAAACACACCGACGCTTCATCAGAGGCTGCACTGAGGATGTTACCAAGCACGGTAATGAAACGTCTGCGGAACAACAAACCAGCTCGGCAAGCCAACCAACCTCAACTTCCACAATCCGGGCTACAGATCTACTCCAAAACCTTAGGTCTATCAGACTCTCACTAACCCTCACTTCACAAATGGGTCCCCTCTCCCAGCTCTCAAATTTTCAATTTCTGCTGTTTATGGAGGTGAGTGTGACAGAATGTGGGCTGTGTGTAGCAGTGGCGAGGTTGGAGAGGGGGTTGTGTGGTTTGCCTTAGTTGTGAGCATGGGGTGGGGGTTGTGTCTTATAATTGTAATCAGAGTTTTAGATATAGCAGGAAAGAAAGTCATTTTTCTCATGTTTGATCACAGTTTTTTTTTTAAATAAGTGATCCTCACTGAGATCTAAACAAAAACACCCAAAGAACTATGAATGCTGGAAATCAGAAATTGCTGGAAAAGCTCAGCAGGTCTGGCACCAACTGTAGAGAGAAAGCCGAGTTAATGTTTCAGGCCCAGTGACCCTTCATCAGAACTTCACTGGACCTGAAGTGTTAATTCTGCTTTCTCTCCACAGTTGGTGCCAGACCTGCTGAGTTTTTCCAGCAATTTCTGTTTTTGTTTCTCACTGAAATCTATTGTATTATTGCACAGATTTCAGAAAAGTTTATGATGCTTGGCCTGCTGTGTTCACCCAGCCCTGCACCTTGTTGTCTCAGAAAGGTAAACTCAGTTAAACCTTTAAGACAGCTAGATAATGTCACAACAAGTGAGCTATAGCATAAGAGGTTTTCATCTTGCTCCCTGAACAGTCAAAATATCAGTTGTTAGTTGGCCAGTTAAACACTCATTTGGTTAGTCAGTGTATCTAAATTACATACAAAATATTAATAGCAGAAACAAGCATAGAACCTGGACTGTATACAAATCTAAGATGTCATATTGGAGTACAAAAGCTTGAAATCACAAGCTTTTGGAGTGCTGCTCCTTCATTGGGGCAATGCTTCGAAACCTTGTGATTTCACATAAACCTGTTGGACAATAACCTGGTGTCATCGGACTTCTGACAAGTTGTGAAAAGTTGCTTTCCTAACAATCACTCATCATCTGCCTGTGTTCAGAGCGGAACTTCATGTCTAACAACCAAGACTGAAGGCTACAATTGTACTGAAGCATGACAAACACAATGGGGGAACAATGATGAGTGCACACTCTCTTGCTCTCTCTCAGAAAAAAGGTTACAGTGTGTCATTTTTAAGAAAGGCATTTTACAAGGAGCCTAGAACAGCTACAATTTCTCAAAGTAATCCCTTAATGTCTAAAAAAAAACAGTTCCATATATTGTTAAAGACTTACTTGTGCAGAATTGTAAGTTAATTCTGTTTTTATTTGTTTAAAAATTGTGCAAAGTGGAATAAAGGCATGCACACTGTCACTCATTTTTTTTTGGTATGATCACCACATATAGGCACTGCTCAACAATTTATTTTAAAAACAAAAATTATAAAAACGAAATAAAGCTGAACATCGAAAGCATCAACAAAAGAGAGACGGCAACAAAAAGGAGGAAAAGCATTATAATGCAATATAGATCATTTGTATAAGGACAAGTAATAAAGAGCAAATAAGGACAGAAAGCAAACATCTGAACATAACAGATAACACAGTGTGGAGCTGGAGGAACACAACAGGCCAGGCAGCATCAGAGGAGTAGGAAAGCTGACCTTTCGGGTCGCGGCCCTTCCTCCATTTCTGAAGAAGGGTTCCGGCCCGAAACATCAGCTTTCCTACTCCTCTGATGCTGCCTGGCCTGCTGTGTTCATCCAGCTCCACACTGTGTTATCTCTGACTCCAGCATCGGCAGTTCTTACTATCTCATCTGAACATAAGATTTGTTCAGCTCTGAAGAACTAACTCAATTGAGTTTTCTGAAGAAGTAATGAAGAGGACTGATGAGGGCAGAGCAGTGGATGTGAGCCATATGGACTTCATTGAGGCATTCGACAAGGTTCCTCGTGGTAGATTGATTAGCAAGGTTAGATCACATGGAATAGAGGGAAAACTAGCAATTTGGATACAGAACTAGCTTATAGGTAGAAGGTGGTGGTGGAGGGTTGCTTTTCAGACTGGAGGCCTGTGATCAGCAGTGTGCCACAAGGATCAGTGCCGAGTACACTGCTTTTTGTCATTTACTTTATAAATTATTTGGATGTGAACACAGGAGGTATGGTTAGTAAACTTGCAAATGATACCAAAATTGAAGCTGTAGTAGACAGCAAAGAAGGCAACCATGGAGTACAACAGGATCTTGATCGATGAACAATGGGCTGAGGAGTGGCAGATGGAGTTTAACTTAGATAAATGTGAGGTGCTGCATTTTGGAAAGGCAAATAAAGGCAGGACTCATTCACTTAATAGAACAAAGAACAGTACAGTACAGTACAGGCCATTTGGCCCACAATGTTGTGCCAACCTATTATTAATGGTAAGGTCCTGGGGAGTGTTGCTGAACAAAGAGACCTTGGAGTGCAGGTTCACAGTTCCTTGGAAGTGGTACCGCAGGTAGATAGGTTAGTGAAGGAGGCATTTGGTATGCTTGCCTTTATTGGTCAGTGCGTTGAGTATAGGAATTGGGAGGTCATGTTGCAGCTGTACAGGTCATTGGTTAGGCCAGTTTTGGAATACTGCATTCAATTCTGGTCTCCCTGCTACAGGAAAGATGATGTAAAATGTGAAAGCGTTCAGAAAAGATTTACAAGAATGTTGCTAGGGCTGGAGGATTTGAGCTATAGCGAGAGGCTGAATAGGCTGGGTCTATTTTCCCTGGAGTGTTAGAGGCTGAGGGGTGACCTTATAGAGTTTTATAAAATTGTGAGGAGCATGGATAGGGTAAATAGATAAGCTCCTTTCCCCAGGCTGTGGGAGTCCAAAACTAAAGGGCATAGGTTTAAGGTGAGGGGGGAAAGATTTAAACAGCACGTAAGGGGCAACTTTTTCACACAGAGGGTGGTGCATGTTCGGAATGAGCTGCCCAGAGGAAATGGTGGAGGCTGGTACAATTACAACATTTAAAAGGCATCTGGATGGGTACATGAATAAAAAGGGCTTAGAGGGATGTGGGCCAATTGCTGGCAAATAGGACAAGATTTATACAGGATTTCTGGTTGGCATGGATGAGTCAGACCAAAGGATCTGTTTCCATGCTGTACATCTCTATGACTCTGAGTTACAAGAAAAGAACTAATAGTCATACTGGACTTGAAACGTTAACTCTGTTTCTGTCCCCATAGATATTGCCAGACCTGCCGAGTTTCTCCAGTATTATTGGTGTTTCAGATTCCCAGCATCTGCAGTCTTTTGCTTTTGAACATCTGGATGTAATTGGCACTCCACTGACATTCTGTCAGAATTTCAACTATTCAAAGAAAGAATCAATCTTCATTTCATAGATCAACAGGTGGTTGATAAAGAAAAGTCGAGGAGTCAAACTTATTATCACTTTGGGAAAAGAAAAGTTATGAAGAAAACCAAGTGCAGGCATTTCTCGATGATCACTACATCCTCACAAAAATGATCAAATTGTAGAAATCACCTTAAGTTTCAAGTGAACATCAAGATACACAGGCTTGCATTCATGCCAAACTGCCAGCAACCAGGTGAAAATATCAATCAATTCAGAGGCAGATACTGATACAAAGTTACAAAAAGTGGTTTCACCAAGGTTATCTCTGCTGAAAAAGGCTTTTAGAACCAGTCATCGCCTCCACACCTATCAAATCATTCCAAATGGCATTTCTATACAAACATGAAGACAAATCTGAAAGCCTAACCTAACCATGGCCCACTGTTAAAAGGAGGATACATGTAGCAATTGCAGCAGGACAACAACACATGCAGGTGCTTAGTCTGCAATTGCTTTTACAACAGTCAACAGGGTCAGTCAAACATCTAAATCTTGTTTGAGGTGTGGTTCATCTCACTGACCAAAAACAGTGCCCAACATTTTGTGACATTTGCAAGCTATGTTCTGCAAAAGGACATTGGGCTACAATGTGCAGAAGTCCGAGTGCTTGAGGGAAACCCAAGTGCAATACAATAATCCACAGCAGCTTGTGAAACAGATCCAATGATAGAACAATGTCAAGGAAGGTTCTATTCATGGCACACAAGCATGTCAATGAGATCCCAAGAAGTAACTACAAAGTTACAGCTTACAAATGCAAGAATGGACAACATGTATGCCAAGATGCAAAAGCAGTTATCATCCCTTTAAGCATTGTACACAGGATATACTCAGAAACCTGGCACAATGTGATACAAGTTAACCTCTTCCAACAGGTTTGGCATCCCATGCATGAGCATTATCCAGCTTGAATATCAGTATGAATCCTTGGGATATTCACCTAAAGCCCGTTACATTGATATACAGCAAGGCCAGTCATTGCTGAGCCCAGCAGATCCTGTAAGATGTTGATCAGTAGCAACAGCTCATCAATGGGTGACCTGGAAACATCTAACAGACCCCTGAGCGAGCACGTTCCTTCTGACCATTCAGAGATCAATTAGTACTCTCTAGAAATATAATGTGCAGAAAAAAACAAATCATTATTCCACAAGCCCTACACTGAGATATGCTTGAGCATAAAACACAGAGGTCACATGGATGAAGAAGAAAAAGATCATCTGGTTTATATTTATTTACTGTCACATAGATTTGATATAAAACACAGTGAAAGGAGTTGTATAGTGTCAGCAATTTCCGGCGCCATCTTAAAACATAGAAAAATACACCAAAACATAGAATATATATCGGCTCGGCATCAAGAAAGACATTGATCAACATGTGAAACATCCCAAATCCATCAATTTCAATAATGGAGAGAACCTTTCATTCTACAAGAAAGTCCTTCTGAGCAGTGGTGTGAGATCACAACTGGTATTTGCCCATGTCTAGCGATATTGCTATATTCTGGTAACTGACCATCAAATTTCCCTTTTGTGGGACAAGTCAGAGATACCACTCCTGGTACCATCTGTCAGTCAAAATGATGGCTTGCATGCTTAAAGTATCAAAGCAGACATTATGGCTCATGATACACATTCAATTATGATGACAGACCACATGCTGTAAAGTGAAATTACACAGCTGAGTCACATGATAATTGCATGATGACCAGATCCTTTCATATTGTATGCCTGCCAGGTGTTATTTTATGTATTAATGCAACATACTGTTTTTTGCTCATTCATATTTATCAGCTTTCTTATTCTGTATAGAGAAAAACAGGGATGTTACATTATTGCAAAGATCTCAGAAAGACGCTAGACATTTAAGACAGCCAGATAATATTGTGACATTCCAATACAGAAAGTTTCCATCTTATTTCCTGTGCAGACAAGCAGTCGGTTGTTGGTTGACCCAGTAAAACACTTAATTAGTCAGCCAGTCAATTACAGTAGCAGCAATATAACTGAACGCAGAATATGCAAGTCTGAGATGTCATGTCAGTGAACCTTATTGTTAATAAATTTTCAGATATCTGTCTCAATAAGATTTTAAGTCTCTGAGGTATGATTTATGTAGGCTAACACAAAGACAAGCACATCAAGACTGGATTCACATTTTTTGTTATTTTGAACAGATTTGTGAAGGACTTCTTAAAAATTGAAAACCTTCACTGACGGCAGGTCTTTAAACCTGTTCTGTCTAACGTGCATGCAAGGAAGAGATAAGTTAAAATTTCCTGCTAAAGTGTGCGTTAAACACTTTCCTGCAGCTCTGATTGTTTTGCATCTGTGTGAAGTTGCATATTTCCTATTGAGACTGGAGGGATACTTGAAAAGTGACTGGTTAAAATGGGTGAGGCATTGCGTGCAGCTTCAAATCTAACCTTCGAGTTGCCCTCCCGGAGGAAACTCCAGGTATCATTAATTCAGCAAAAGCATGGAATTGAACCCTGTTGCAAGACTGTGCAGTGTACCCATTGAATCGGTATGGAGAAGGAATGGTGCATTTTTACACATGGGGTTGTACAACAAGACTATAAGTCTAAGTAGCATGATTGATGTCCTGATTACAAAGTAAGAACTCAATGAGCTTCTCAAGTGCAGGGGTCCTGCAGCTTTTGTAAGTGCTTCTCTAACAGTCTGCAAAGCTTTCAGTAAAACCACACAAATTTCATTCAGTCACACAGATCTGTTAATAGATCCGTTTAAAATCCTTATAGCAGGGTCCTTTCACTTCGAGAGAAAAATAATGAGTTTACCAGTGTTCTAATTAAGCATTGTGCAAGTATTTGGTGCAAAGACCTTAATATGTGCAAGTATTAGATGTAAAGTAGCAGGAAAGGTTAACGGAAGTGGACCAATTACTAAAATGTAAGAGGGGGTGAAATATATCTGACTACTGCAGCGCGCTTCATTACCGAGACACTATGCTGGTGTCTTCAACACAATCAATCTGACTTCTTGACAGCTCCAGGTGCTTGTTTGAGAGGTTTCTCCAGTGACTTCTTCTGCAAGTGACTGGAGGCCCCAGCGCAGGAAATGAAATAATCCCCCCACTTGTAATGACGTTAAAGTGTCCATTTGGTATCCAGGGCTATTAGCTTCGTAAAGCTCTCAAGGTCTGACTTTTGACCTGGGCATTGCAAAAAGAAAATAAGAGCAGATAGCATGCCAGAGTTCAACACTGAGGTTCTATCTCCTGTTGTGTTGGCCTAGAGCTGTTGACAGTCACTTACACTGACTTACACGTTTGAACAATGCTCCTATGTTGCATGATATGTGCCTTATAGATTTTATTAATTCTATACATATACAAAGGACTGCTACATCTATTTTTACAGAAAGTGCTATCAAAAAGTTTCAGTCTCAGAAATACATGGGTGCAGCCCACAGAACCAGACAGTCCCAGAGTACAGATTAATACATTTTGGCATAATGAACTGCAGGGAGGTGCGCTAAAAGGCAGGACGAGTGAAACTCAGTTTAAGAGTCTCTCGATATTGCATTCTTGTCTTCCAGCGTTCACAACAGGCGTTTTCAAATACAGAAATCAAGCAAGCTTGGGCAGACTCCTGATCTTTTCCAGACAAAGTTTCTTGCTCAAGACATCCCACTTGATTCTTTTCGATATTTTTTTTTCCTCCAGTGCTTTTTATCGTTTTTCTCTCTCTCAATACTGGCCCTCCTTCAGTAAACACGAGAATCGTATTCTGTGTGAAACAATAACTGCCACCCTCTGTCGAAAAGTGGCTCCCACCTAGTCAGAGTGTCAGCAGGAGAGGAAGGTGTTTATTCCCAGAGTTAAATGTGAGTCACCAACAGTCAATCTGTTTCCCTTTGCCCCAGCCAGGGAAGCAGAGAGGGGACTGGGGAAGGTGCTAATTTGAGTCTTAGCCTCTCCCAGCTCCCCTGTTGTTTTCACACGCACAGCTCCAGACCTTTGCTGGGTCTAGCTGTCTCCTGCTTGCCTCCTTCGATCCTACTCCCTGCAGCAGCTGTTGGACTGTGACCAGGTAGCCACAAAAGATTCCTCCCTCGGTCACATTTCTCCGAATTTCTCCCCCTGATGGAGAACGAGGACATTTTGGCCTTCCTGTATTTGCTGTTGCAGCAATAGATGAGAGTCCTGGAACAAAGCACAACAACACATGCCATTATTGAACAGAATCAGGGAACTCAAAGTGAATTTTGCTGATCTAGAGTGTACCATATTGCACCAACAGTTATAAAAGATGGACTCTGAACACAAAATAACTTCCAAAGATTAGGTGGATTGGCCATGCTAAAAGAAAGCTGCCCCGTAGTGTCCAGGGATTTGTAGGCTAGGTGGGTTAGTTGTGATATAAACCCCATGCAGAGTTATGGGGATCAGTGGGTCTGGATGGGATACTCTTCGGAGGGTTGGTGCAGACTCAGGATTCTATGATTTCATGAAAACGCAAGTACTTATTTTAATAAGAAATGTGAATTAAATTTGTTTTTTTTCTTAAAAATTCATTTGTGGGTCATGGGTGTTGCTGGCTGTGCCATCATTTATTGCCCATCCCTAGTTGCCCTTGAGAAGGTGATGGTGAGCTATGTTATTGAACTGCTGCAGTTCATGTGCTGTAGATTGATCCACAATACAGGTCGTGAGAGAATTCCAGGATTTCAAACTGGTGACAGTGAAGGAAATGCAATATATTTCCAAGTTAGGATGGTGAGCCAATTGGAAGGGAACTTGGGTGTTTGCACGGATCTATGGCCCTTCTAGACGGAAGTGGTCGTGGGTTTCGAAGGTGCTGCCTGAGGACCTTTGGTGAATTTCTGCAGTGCATCTTGTTGGTAGTATGTACTGCTGCCACTGTACATGGGTGGTGGAAGGAATAGATGTTTATGGATGTGATGCCAATCAAGTGAACTACGTTGTCCTGGATGGTGTTTAGCTTCTTGTTGGAGAGGCACACATCCAGCCAAGTGGGGAGTTTACCATCACACTCCTGACTTGTGCCTTGTAGATGGTGGACAGGCTTTGGGGAGTCAAGAGATGAGTTATTTGCCACCTCCAATTCCTAGTCTCTAACCTGCTTTTGTTGCCACTGTGTTTATGGGACGAGTCCAGTTGAGTTTCTGGTCAACGATAAGCCCCAGGATGTTGATAGTGGGGGATTCAGTGATGGTAACACCATTCAATGTCAAGCAGTGGTGGTTACATTCTCTCTTATTGGAGATGGTCATTGTCCGGCATTTGAGTGGCATGGGTGTTATTGCTGCATGCAGACAAATGTTAACTATTTGTAAATTGACCATGACACAGCTTCTTGATCACAGTTCTTCGTTCCTTTGTGTGATTGCATGGTTTTGCACTATGCTCACAACAACGACAATGATAACATGGCATCGTTAACATAATAAAATATTCCAAGGCACTTGACAGGAGTGTTATTGGACAAAAAAAAACAGACGGTGAGCCAAAGTGGAAGAAATTAAGACAAAGATCAAAGGTCACGTTGATCATTGGTCAAAGAGATATGTTGCACTTTAAAGGGACAAAAGGATATTGAGAAGTAGAAAGAGGTTTTGGGAAGCAATTTTACAGCCTCTGTTGAAGGGTCACTGGACTCAAAATGTTAATTTTGCTTTTCTGTCCACAGATGCCAGCAGACCTGCTGAATTCCTCCAGCACTTTCCGTTTTTGAATCCTAGAACTTACTGCCTTAACAGCTAAAGGCACAACCGCCAAAGTATTACAAAGGAAACTGCTCAAAAAGGATAGGCATCAAATTGGAGCAATGTTGCCTATTTAGACGGGGATGCTCTGCTCATCAGCATAAAAAAATCAACCTGATTGCAATAATTGTGTAATCTTTTACCCAAACCATATCAATTTGTCTTGTTATTATGCATGACTAATAAACTAATAAATAAAGTTTAGGAAGTTGAACAAAAAATCTTTACCCAGAGAAGGGCAAAAATGGGGAACAGGGAACAATTGAAGCTAATAGTTACACTTAAGGGGAGGCTAAAAACACATGAGGGAGAAAGATATTGAAAGAAATGATGGCATTCTAATGTCGTGCTGAATGGTCTGTCTCTATGCCTCAAATATTACAAAAGGAGAAAGTGGGAGGCTTTTTAATCCCATCATGGGACATTAACGTCGGCGGTTAGTCCAGCATTTATTGCCCATCCGTAATTGCTCTTTGAGAAGGTGGTAGTGAGTTGCCTTCTTAAACTGGGCTGCAGGGACCTTGACAGTGCTGTAAGGAAGGGAGTGCTAGGATTTTGACCCAGCAACAGTGAAGGAACAACAGTATATTTTCAAGTCAAGATGGTGAGTGGTTTGATGGGAATTTGTAGGGTGATGGTCCCATGTATCTGCTGCCTTTGCCCTACTTAGTGGTAGAGTTGCAACTTTGAAAAATGCTGTTGAAGGAGCCTTGGTGACTTAGTGTAGCTTCTAGGAGCTACACATTGCTACAACTGTGTATCAATGGTGAAAGGGATGAATGTTGAAAGTGGTGGATAGGTGATAATCAAGTGGGCTACTTTGTCTTGGATGTATTGAGCTTTCTGAGTGTTGTTGGAGCTGCACCAAGCCAGGCAAGTTGGGAGGTTTAGGGAGAAAATTACAGAGCTTGGGGCTTGGCCATCAATGATGAGATGATTAAAATTGAGGTTGAGTAGGAGACTAGATTGAAGAAGCACAGATATCTCAGAGGATTGTAAGGTTGAAGGACATTACAGAGATAGGGATGTATGGAAGGAGGAATTTTAATTCACGGATAAGAATTTTAAGATTGAGATGTTACTTAAGGAGCGATATTGGTCAGTGATCACACGGGTGAATAGACTTAATGTGAATTAGGGCATGGACACAGGGTTTTGGATGATCTTAATTTGAGGAGAGCATGGTTTTAGTTTGACCACATCAGAGGATGGCAAGTCCAAGATTATGATCATTCCTATACTCAAGTGTCTGCCTTGATTGTGAGGAATGTACCATTGATGCAAGATTCACAAAGTGGGGAAAATAATCAGGACAAAATTGAAGAAAACCAAACAATTGAAACAAATAAAGATAACAACAGAAATCTTTAAGTAATAGTTGAAAGAAGAGCCTTTCTTGCCTGTACATGAGACACTTAAAGATTCAACTCACTACTTTTGATTTTATAGCACAATTAGAATGTTGGGCTAACTCTTTTCCATTGATGTGAAGCCACTCCATACTTACAGCTCAGCTCTTTTAGATTTATCAGAGAAATGTTCTTGAAAACTATCCCACATCCTCAGGACTCAAATGCCTTTAATAAAGCTAACATAAGCAAATACAATGTTTATTTCTGGGTACCAAGGAGCTGCCGGCATTATCACCTGCGGCTTATATTAACAATCATTCAGTCATGCTTTGGAGCTTTCGGTGCAATGGTAGTGTCCCTACGTTTGAGCCAGGAGGCCTGGGTTCAAGTTCCATCTGCTCCAGAGGTGCTTAATATCATCTCTGAGCATGTTGATTAGGAAAGATCTCAGTCATGTCCTCTGTCCCTCACAGAGAAGTGGCTTGAATGGGGATTGGCACCTTCTGTGACTGAAGTGGTTGAGTTCAGGAATTCCCATGCTGGAAATTCTTGGTGGAGGCTTTGGAAGAACCTGCGCTCTTTGTTATACTCCATCTGTGCACTTTGCTCTTTCTGAAATATATGTCACCTTTTAGGTGCCTTTCTGATTATTTTCCTACACTGATGCCTTAGGTTAAACCACCCATCAGTCGTATCTCTCTAATGACAGAGCAGCCCAATGGTCTGGTATAACTTTGATGATGTTTCGTATAGTGTGCACCTGAACTGGGAAGTGAGGTTGGTGTAAGCCCTGATCCCAGTGTTCTATTAATTTGACTGTCTAATCAGTTGCTCGGTAACAAGGCAGCTAGGGAAGGAGGTCCTCTCTCTCTGATCTTTTGTACAGCCCTGTAAAAAGCGTTTACCTTTAGCAGAGGACTGTGACAATAGTGCAGCAATGGTATAACTGTGTTACGGAAATAATATAAAGCTCTGGGATCACAGTGTGTGCTACCTCACTGCTAGAGTAATTGAGCCACAAATCTCACGTAGCGCAACTGGATCTGAGACTTGCCTTGAAGATCTGTCGATCAGTGATCCAGACATTTACACTGGGACTGGCTTGATTGGTAAACCCCACTGCTGATTCCAGAAAATTTAGCTGGGTTGTAATGAGATTTCCCAAGTTATTTCCAGCCGAGATATCTGGCATCTGCACCATGCCATCCAGTTATAGGAAAGAAAGCAGAAAATCGGAGGCTGGTACCAATGACAAAAGAACTAGCAGTTACCTGCTATGTATTCCTTATGAAAGCTGGTCACTTTAAAATTGAGCCTGATTCTACGGTAGATTCCTGAAGGCCCCTAAATTCACCACGATCCAGGGGTGCGTGCCTGGCCTGATGATTGTACACTCAGCTGATTGTGGGGCCAATGGGTTTAGGAATATCCAGCGCAGAGAGTCCTGGTCTCACTCCTTTCGTAATCATGGCCTTACATGGATCAGGGCCTGACTCACACTGGTTGTAACAGTTGGATCAGTGCTCGCTGTTCCTGGAATAAAGCTCTTCTGACTTCTGCCTGCTTCTGATTTCTGTAACCTATTATAAACAGCTTAGGCACTTAGTTTGGGGACTTTTTCCAAATGCTTCTCCAAATATTCTACCCAAATGTCACTCAGCAAAGCGTAGTGGGAGGTAAATTTGTAAAGAGCATCTGCTGTTGTGGACGTTAATCATGAACACAAATCATAAGCACATTATGACATTGTCCACAGCCTCTTTTATGCTTGCTCCCATATTCTATTCTGTTCACATGACAACTCAGAATTCCCAGCCACTCTTATTTAAAGCTTCTCCACATAAATTGATTTGAAAGTACACTTACAACAATGCCATACATTTGTACGGTGACTCTGAAGTTAAAGGGTGCCACACGGTGCCTCACAGAAGTTTAATCAGACAAGAACCAGCATTCAGCTGTGGAATGAAATATTAAGCTGGACAATGGAAAGCTTGGTTGAAGGTGAGATTTTTAAAGAAATTGAAGATATCCAACAAGGATCTAACGGTAAGTGCTCAGTTTA